CCCCAAAACCCCAAAACCCCAAAACCCCAAAACCCCACTATGAACATCAGGCGTTGATCTCCTGGATTATTGATGAAAACTTATCGATGAATCATCTTTTTCTTATAACTTTTCAACAGTCGCATCAAAGCTCTTTTCGTTTATCCAATAGAAGAATCCATCTTCATGGCTCACATCCTTAAGCTCAAACTTGAATTGAGTCAAAAAGTAAACAAGCCCGATTTTCATGAAGTACATACTGTAGTTATCTCCAGAACAAGCTCTTGGTCCAGACCCGAAAGCAAGCCAGGTGATTGGTTCTCTCTTCTCACCGTCTGGAAGCTTGAAGTAAGGAGATTCTGGGTCAAATCTTTCTGGGATGAAGTCTAATGGATCCTTCCAAACATTCTCTGATACTCCAATTACTCCATTATTTGGATACACAAGAGTTCCCTTTCTTACGGTAAATCCGCTCTTAAAAGTCAGATCTTTCCTGGCTCTCATTCCCTTACCATAGATTGGGGAGCTAAGCCTGAGAGCTTCTTTGACAACATGAGACATATAATCAAGATCGTGAAGCTTCTCATGAGTAGCAATCCCTTCAATCTCATCAACGCTGATATCTTTTCCTTCAAACAGTTCAGTCTTGATTTCGTCTCTTAATTTTTCGAGACACTCTGGATTCTTAAGAAGATAATAAAGAGCAGCGGTAAGGGCGTTTCCACAGTTGAGATGAGCTCCGTTGAGCACTGCCCATCCGTTTTGAACACCTTCATTGACATCCTTAAGAACTCCATCTAAGACTAGTCCAATGGCAGCATCAACAATAGTTTTCTTTCTCTCAGCTCCCTTGGTGATCTCTTCAACTCTTGCTTCAACAACTCCAGTAAGAGCTCCTCCAAGTGTCTGCATGTTTTTGTTCAAGTTTTCGCACAGTTTCTCGGTTGAGTTTAGTCTGTATTCTTTGTCCTTGCAAAAGTCATCAGTTGCTGAATGCTTTGAGAAATCAAGCAAAGTTCTTGCATTGCAGTCTCTTATGTGAATGGTCTCCTCCCCATTCTCTCCATGGTATGGTACATCAACGTCGAGCTTAGCTCCGGTAAGAGAGTAAACAGCTGAGTCATATGCCATATCACAAATATCTTTCTTGACATTTCTGGTAGATCCTGAGTTATCATTCCAAGTTTTCACTAGATCTTTGATGGCTCTATTGAAATATCCAAAGTAAGCTTCCATCCAATCACTGTGGAAGATGGGAGTAAGAGCTTTCCTTATATTCTTTGAATGAGTGGAGGTAGGGATGAAAGGCACACCTCTTGGTGCATATCCAACCGCTTGATTGAAGGGAGTAGACTCCATGACTCCTCTTAAATTGATTGAAGCGTAGAGCTCCTTCAGATCTTGTTGAGATACTGGGAACAGCCAGGTCTCTTCTCCTACTTTAATACCAAAGTAATCTCTTCCCTTAGCTCCAGAAGCAGCATACTTTCTTAAAGTATTAAAGTGGGGTAGATCTTTATTGATTTCATCATGGAATGTTTTTGAGTAGCTCTCTTTATCTGCAACAAACAGAACATTCTGTTTTTCATAGAACTCAACATCGTCAGCACCATCGTCTACAACCTTGGTACCAGCATTTCCGGCACCTCTTTGGTTATTCTGGGCATCATTACCATTATCTTTCTTGTTGAAAACAAAGTAAAGAACAAATGCTATCAGCAGGAGTATTATGATTTCTTGCATATTTTATATTTAGATGAATCCAATTCTTTTACTTATAGCTGGGGTTTTGGGGTTTTGGGGTTTTGGGGTTTTGGGGTTTTGGGG